CACAGACAACCTCTCGTCAATATGCGTTTTTCGCATTGCATTGCTGCAAAAAACGCATAAGAAAAACTATAGCTAATAAAAGCTTGGAAAACCTAACTGATTATGAGCAAAGCTAATTTTGGAAAAAAAACCCCTGTAAACTGGGCACTCAGTGTAGAATTCAATGGCTCACCTCAGGTGCAAAATCAGCAATATGGGTTTTCTCGCGTTCCAGCGCAGCTTGCGAAACAAACATTGGAAAATAGCAGTTTTTAACGCCTAATTTCTTGATTTCAGCATCAAACCATTGCTCGATGTATTCCCAAATTGCGTACGCCCATTCGCGTACCACATAACATCCGGAAACATCGTAGTAATCGATCATTTCTGCTTTTGTGATAACCTTTAAACGACATCATTCAATACAATTAGAATTTGCTTAAAGTACATAACATTCTTCCTTTCCTCCCCCCACCACCCCGCTCCTCTTGTCCTCACAGTAATGCTCAATTTTAGATCCAAAGTCATTCATGTGCGAGAAGAAAAATGCAAAAAAAAAAAAAATTGTATAATATCCCCTCCCCTCCTCCTTTTTAAGATTGGGAGGAGACAGAAGCTTAACTGAATAAGCCCTGCTGCGATTTGTGAAGTCGGGCTTTCCTTGGAAAATCTCCCGGGATTTACGGGTTTCAAAAATCACTCTAATGTCACCTGAAAATGTTCAGTTTTACCCTAATCGATTTATTAAAGCCAATCCTAGAACAAATCGTTACCTGCGAATACCATTCTGAGAAGTTCTCATCTTTGGACACTTCTAGGCCCAATTTCGACTGCTTCTTGGCCGCGGCTCCTCGAATTTTGCCATGCTGTTGAAGACCGTCCTGCTAAAAAATGCTCCATTTCTTAAAACCCGTGAATGTATGCATTCAGAGCCTGTTCCAAACGAACCCTGAATTTTGTACGTTCCCTTTTTTTGGAATTTCGGAGACGATATTCGATAGCTCCTGGTCGGGCGACGTTCGGGGAATGAGATGGTGATGCTCAGCTTTCAACGAACCGCTCGTAGAAAGATTGGCCGTCCTACTAAGGTGCAGTGTCCATGAGTACATCCACGGCTAAATTACAGGCCCAGCGCTTTTTAACCTATTCAAATACATCAGTAAAATAAAATTCCCACATAATTCACTCAATTTTGAGGATAAGGGGTACTCCTAGATGGCTCAATTGGTAGCAAATGCCAATAGCAACCACTCGCAAGCAAGGCTGTCGATGACGGCTTTCTCCGGGGATCGCTAATGGCGGTTTTGAACCCCTGGCGAATATCAGTAGCAAATAACCACTGAAGCGAATAAAGAATCGCAGAGGGGTTGACTGCCGATTTAATACCTTCATAATATCTCCACTTAACACTAAATTCTAGCCCCTGTGTATTTCAAAAGAATCCACGAAACTTAAAATTAGTATAAAACTCCCCCACAATTCCCTCGTTTTTGTGGGGAGTAGAGGCACTCTGAGGTAGCATGTGCGGTGTGATCTATCCTCTAGCAACGCTTCCGAGGTCTCTTTCGAGGGTTGCTTATTGGAATATGCCAGGATGGCGGGGTGCCTCTCGCTCTGGCATATGCCAGTACCAATCTACCATCGAAACGAATGAACGAATCGCAGAACGGGACTGGCTGTCCCCAATGATTCCTGAATCGACTTCTCAAGCTTTAGCACGAAACTGCTGCCACCTGCTAATGCGCTATGCCGGTCAGCAAAAAATGCCTGATATGCAACCTCAGTCAACCTCATTTCCAAGCATGAGGGAGGTGTACCAACCACGGACGTATCCCGAAGGGGTGAGAGAGAGTCCCCCCCCCCCTCCCCCTCCCTCCCTCCCTTTCTCTTCCTGAGCATCACAGACATCAGTGCCGCAAAAATCTGATTGTAAAGCTAAAACTGAAGAAAACCCTCTTCCGCACCCCCCTCCCCCTCGCCCTGTCGCCCCTGAGGAGGCCGTCCGGAATCCGTCTGTGACATCAAAACTGGGGTTACATGCATAAAAAGTGACTAAAACATACCTGAGTTTTGGGCTGATTGCGCACCTCATATCCTCCTCTTCCTCGCTGTGCCGTGATTCCGACCGGCATCTTCGCGTCATCCTCCTCACTGTACTGCACTGCAGATGACAT